ATCACCCTAGATATCAATCTCAATCAGGGGGTTCCATCAAGGACTCTCTTCTATCCAATCATGCCTCAGGGTTTGGGTCAAAGAATACTACTAGTAAGTTTTTACTTCAAACTTAAAAAGTTCAATTTGGGGGCTGGAGTTGTGGTTCAGTGGTAGAGCACTTGCCTAGCATGTGTGAGACACTGGGTTCAATTCTCAGCATTGCATATAAATAAATAAAGTCCACTGACAACCAAGAAAATATTAAAAGAAAAAAAGGTTCAATTTTATTTTTAGCCAAATGTCTCTTTAAACTGGCACAAAAATTCTCAGTAAATATTAGTGGAAAAGAAGAGGAAAGGAAGGCAAGAAAGGAGGGAAATTGGTTGCTTAGTTGATTTACTGCATATATACTATATTTAATATATTCCCCTATACTAGTTAAACTCAATCAATCAGCATATGGAATTAATAACATTTTTAAGGAGGAAGATTATTTCGCTTTCATTCAGTAAATATTTAACATTTATCATATGCCAGGGACTCTGCTAGGTACTAAGGATCCTTGTCCAAACAGAACTTACCATATAGGCAGGATATAGAAAGTCACAACAAGTGTGATACAATGCCTAATAAGGTGCAGTGGGGACCCAGGGATTGTCTAAGCCAGATATGAAGAATCAGGGAAGTCTTCCTGGAGGAAGGGTCATCTAAGATGAAATCTGAATAATGGATACAATTGAGGAAAGTGTTCTTAAAAAACAAAAGGTAAGTATGACAGCTCTAGACAGGAGAAAGGGCATGGTCTATCAGAGAAAATGAAAGAAACAGAGTTGCATACAAAAGAGGGAGAAGGAGAGAGGTAGGAGGCCAGTAAAGGGTCAAGGCGGAGGAAGGCGGAGATCAAACCAAGATTTGGGCCACATAAAAGATTTTGAGCTCTGTCTTACAAATAATAGGGATTCAATTAAGGGTTCTAAGTAGAGGTTGATATGACATTATAGAGTGAATGTTTATGTCGCCCACTCCAAATTTCTATGTTGAAACGTAAGCCCCAGTACAAATGTGTTGGGACCTTTAGGTGGTTAGGTTTTCAGGGTAGAGCCCTCATGAATGGAATTAGTGCCCTTCAACACAGACCCCAGTGAGCTCCTTCACCTCTTTTGCTACTCTTGAAGAAACAACAAGAAGATGTCCATCTCTGAGCCTGGAAGTGGACCCTGGGCAGACACTGATTCTGCTAGTACTTTGATCTTGGACTTCCCAGCCTCCAGAAATGTAAAAAAAAAAAGTGTATTATGAAAGCTATGCAGTCTCTGGTTATTTTGTTATAATAGCACAAATGGATTAGGATATGTGTTTAGATGTAAATTTTAGGAAGACTAAACTACAGCATAGAGAGCATAATACAAGAAAAAAAAGTTGGAGATAGAGACTTGTTTATAAGAAATATTAGTACCTCCCCAATAATTTTTTTTTTTTTTTAAGAGAGCGATTGGGCTGGGATTGTGTCTCAGTGGGATAGCACTTGCCTAGCACATGTGAGGCACTACATTCCATCCTCAGCATCACATAAAAAATTAAGTAAATAAAGTTATTTTGTCCACCTGCAACTAAAAATATTAAAAAGAGAGAGAGCGAGAGAGAGAGAGAGAGAGAGAGAGAGAGAGACTAGTAGATTCTAGAATCATGGGGAGGCAATGAAAACAGTCTAGCTGAGCTTTCAGAAATAATCCCCCCCCACACACACCTTCGCCCATCAAAAAAATAAAGAAAACTAAGGCAAGAAGGAAGATGTTGCCTCTGGCAAAATGAGATAAATCTGAAAGCTCTTTTACAACTACCAGCTTCAGAAGCCAGGCATGGTGTACATGCCTGTAGTCCTAGTGAGACTGAGGCAGGAATATCACAAGTTTGAGCCCAGCCTCAGAAATTTAGTGAGGCCCTAAGCAACTCAGTGAAAATTTGTTTCAAAATTAAAAGGGCTAGGAATGTGGCTCAGTGATAAAGAGGCTCTGGGTTCAATTCCAAGTAACACAAAACAATAAAACTAACAGCTTCAGGGCAGACACCTGATGTAGACACCAAATCACAGGTGTGGCAGCCTGAACTAGGGTGATTAGAGTGTGGGGTGTGGAGGAGTAGAAAACATGTGTGACTTAGTTAAGGGGAAGAATCTACAAAGTGGCTTTGGGTAGAGAGGTGCAGGAAGAGTAAGCCAGGTTTGGGGCTTAAAGCAAAGAAGGACAAGTAGTCTATTACTTAAATACAGAAAACAAAAGGAGATTTGTGGTAGGGAAAAATGAAAGTCAAGTCTGGACTTAAGGAATCAAAGATGAGTGTAGACATCTAACTAGCCAGTTGAAGTAGGAGGCATCATCACAGTGAACAGATGAGATCATCCAGGAAGAATGCTGAAATCTAATGGGAAGAGGGCCCTGGATACAATCCTAGGGCACACCACTACACTAAGGAGACTGGCAGAGGAAGATTAGCCCAACAAAAGAGACTGAAAGAAAGACAGAAAATGGAGACAATGAGAATGCAGTTTAAGAAAGTGAAGGAAGCAGAGGTCAACAGTGTTAAGTAGTGCAGAAGAAATCAATCAAGATAAGAACTAAGAATTCAAAATGAAATTGATATTGCCTTTCAGTGAGATGATAGAGTAAAAGGTAGATAGGGAATATTGTCTTTAATTTCAGGACAAGAATGCCCACTGATGATTATGTTTAACACTGAACTGGAACTCCTAGACACTAATATTAAAAAAGAAGGAGGAGGAGGAAGAGGAAGAAGGAGAGAGGAAAAAAAGATAAAAAAAGAATAAAATTTGACAAGAAGAAACTTATTTATATATGGTGTAAATATTCATATAGTTTCACAGATTAAAGTAATTAGAATTTACCTAGGTTAACAGATAAAAGATCAACTTTCAAAAAAAATCAATATCTATTTATACCAGCAACAACTAGAAAATGTAATAAAAAAATAAGGTATACATGATAGCAAAAACTACCACAAAGCATTCAGGAACCAATTGAGTAAGACTGCCATGGAGAAGAATTTTAAACTGTTTAAAATAAAATCTTACTAAGTGAAAAACTTGTAGTTTGAGATTTGTCATTTTAACAACATTATAAAAACTTCAGCTTTCCCTAACTTAATCTATAAATTAAATGCTGTATCATCAATGGTTTTATTATTATTATTACTTAAAAACTCAGTTATTCTAAATATATATGAAAGAGTCATGTTTCAAATAGCTAAATCAGCATGGAAATAAAAAGAAAAAAGACAAGATGAAGAACTTGTTCTGGAAGACAGAAAGTATAGTACTAGCATACAGAAAAAGATAAATTGAACAGAACAGAGTTGTGAGACAGATCCAAAATTACATAAGAAATTATTGTATAATTAAGGTTGCCCCATAAATTAATGAGGAAAGAACAAACCAATGATTAGGGATACAGTATAGGGAGAAAACATTAAAAATGGATTTCCAGCTAATTATATACAGAAGTGGGTCCTAGATGGATTAAGGATATGAAACTATAAAGTTCATGGATGACAATGTAAAAAAATAATTCTGTGACTTGTAGAAGAAAAAGAATTCTGGCTTGGGAGGCTGAGGCAGGAGGATGACAAGTTCAATGCCAGCCTTAGCAATTTAGAGAAGTCCTAAGCAATTTAGTGAAACCCTATTCTTTAAAAAAAAAAAAAAAAAAAAAAAGAGCACCCCTGCATTCAATTCCTGGTACCCCAAATCATAAAAATAAATAAATAGATAAGTTCTTACATAAAAATCCCAAAACCCAAGACTTATATGTATATTATGTAAAGTAAAAATTATAAAAACAATCTCTATTTACAGTTCAAATTTTCAGATTTTTCCATGTAAAAAGATGATATGAGAAAAATGACTATTCTTTAAGATTATTCATTTAGGGGTTGGGGTTGTGGCTCAGCGGTAGAGTGCTTGCCTAAGCATGTGTGAGGCACTGGGTTCAATCCTCAGCACCACATAAAAATAAATAAATAAAATAGAGGTATTGTGTCCAACTGCAATTTTAAAAAATAAATAAATAAGATTATTCATTTAGATACATAGGATTCATGAGTAAGGGAAAATATAAGATTGTTTTAATATTACTATTTCAGTTCTTCACATACTTCTATTATAATCTACATTAATTATAACTTATTTTTTTCCCATACTTGCAAGACTTTCAAACTAAAAGAACTGGTATCACTTGTCTTAAAATTACTGCTATGCAACCTAAGCAAATGAACCCAAGGAAAATAATTAAATTAAAACACAGAATTTTTAAAAACTGTATTAAATACACATATTACAGTTATCATAAGCACAAATAAAATTCAAATAATATTTAATTAAAATTTAATTTAAATCTTAGGTAATCCTAAAAGTTCAGGGTTACACCCCAACTTTTATTTCACTACTGTCAGCTTTCAGAAGAGCTAGAATGGGTACAGAAGAATTCAAATATGATAGCAGACTAACACACACACACACACACACACACGCACACACACGCACACACACGCACATACTGCATTTGTTTTGAAATGAATTGTTTAGAAATTAGACTTGAATGTAATAGCTGAGGAAAGACCCAAATTCAGGGCATTGTGGACTATATACTTAACTCTTCATAAAACAGGTATGAGAAATATAGGAGGTACAGCATTTGTAACTTCCAAAAGAAGGCTATTAACCTAATTAAAAATTCATTAATGTTTCCAACTCCCTTTGTCTATCATGTTGCTCTGAATTTAGCTTTCTTTAGAACCAATAAAACCTGCTAAAGAGTGAAAATCAGATAATTTCTTTCACTTCTTTAATGTATTAAAATATTTCTCCTTTAAGCTTTTTTAAGTGTTTCCCACCCCACCCCCAAACTCTATCTCCTATATATTTCACCAAACTCTAAAATCACCACTAAAGGGTGTGATATAATAATCCACAGGTATTCTAAATGTATTAGATTAATAAAATATACCTTGAACAACAACCTGGCTGCCTGGGACAAAGAACTGCTGTGTGCCATCAGCTGATTGTGCTGCATACTGTACAATTGTAGCACCTGGTGGAGGAGCTCCTGAATTTGTCATTGTTAATGCCTGTAGTCCCTGAACACCATCAGATCCTGGATTAGAAATCTGGATTGTTCCACCTTGGGCTATAGCAACTTAATAGAAAAAGAAAAGAAATATTAGAGAATTTCAGGATTCATTTTTAATAACCCCATATTGGGAGATATACTCTGGGTCTATGTATTACCATTACTTCTCATTCTCAAATTATCCTTATTTTTATATGCTGAATTGATAAGGAACATCAGCTTCATTATGGGAGAAGATACTGAATGACTGATTGATTTCTGTGGTGTTGGAGATGAAACCCAGGGCCTTGCACATGCTAGGCAAGTGCTTTAACACTGAGATACATCCCCAGGCCAGGGACCAGACTTTAAAAGTTTACAAACACCTGAGTATATTTAATATTTTGAACTTTTAGAAATTCCTGGGACCCATAAAATTTTTATTCTCCCTGGCATCCATCCAACTAAAATTATTTAAAAGAGAGTGGCAAGGCAGACAGGGAGAATGCCCAGCTTCTTGGTGTTCTCCATTCTCTCCTATATTTTTAGTTATAAATAACATTCTGAAATGCTCAGCAAAATTTCCATTAAGCATTGCAATTTCAATGAGTCTGTACCTTCATTCAGCTATTTTTCTAATTTATCGTCAAAAGACAGTGTCTTTTAAAGTAACATATATCAAAAAACTCAAAACTACAAAACTGTAAACTATAACTTTAACTATGGCAGAAGAATCCTGTAATGTAAAATGTTAAGTTGAAAAGGTCTTTACCAGTTAACTCTATTGACGAATTTGTGCTATAATATTTATCTCTACTAAATATCAGGAATACAACAAATATGAGGTAAGTTCCTCTAAATACTGAGATTAGCTAGTCATGCTTCAAAGTTAACATATTGTCTCTAGGTAAGCGCTCTACCACTGAGCTACAATCCCAGCCCTTATCTATTGTTTAATGACAGAAGATCAACCCTATCTTGGATAGAAAGGGCCTACTCTCAAGAGAAAAATAATCAGGTTGAGAGGGGGATACACCCCAATTACTTTGACTGGTTTTGGTTAAAAGTTTCAAAAGAATAACTGATCAAATGTTTTGTTTTAGGGCTGGGGATGTAGCTCAATGGTAGAGCATTTGCCTAGTGCATGTGAGGCCCTGTGTTCCTTCCCCAGCACTCCTAAATAAATAAATAATGGCTAAAATGTTTTAACATTTCTCTAATGGACAAAAAAGTACTATTTAAAATATCTAATAGGTCTGCTATACTTTAACATAAAGATTATGATTTCATGTTTTAGTTTAAACAGTAGAAATTAATCAGAACCAATGGCTATCCTTTTTTAAAAAAAAGAAAAAAAAATCATACATAAACTAGCTAACTACTTTACAATGAAGATTTTAAAAGCCCATTATCAGAATAACAACATGTATGGATCAAGGTAAGTGCCTTACAGGAATATTATAATAGTATTTAAAACATACTCCAAATATATTCAAGTCATTTCCAACATTTTTAATAGCATTTAAGCAAAGACCACTTAGGTGATAATCTGATAACATAAGCCTATTAGAACTACAGAAAGAGTAAAAGTAACAACAAATTTTCAGTTCTTTCACCTAATATTCTAGTACCTACTACAGAAAAATGGGTTAACACTTTTAAAAAGTTTTCAATACAAATGCGTGCTGTTTCTTTAATTCACTGACAGGTTACTATTAGAGTAGGATTGACAGAAATTGAAGAATCAGTTGCAAAATGTTGAAGTACTAAAGCTGAAAAACCCTGTGATAATATTAATTTATCAGGCTTCTTTAGGACATTATATTCTGTACACATTTGAAAAATAGGATATCTTCAGCTGGACATGGTGGAATATCCCTGTATTCCCAGCAATCGGGGAAGCTGAGGCAGGAGGAAAGCTTGAGGCCATTCTGGGCAACTTAGCAAACACTGTCTCAAAACAAAAATAAAAAGGAGTAAGACAGCAGGCTCAGAATTTCAAGGCCAGTTTCTGCATCTTAGCAAGGCCCGAAACAATTCAGTAAGACCCTGGTTCAATTCTCAGTATCAAAAAAAAAGCGGAGGTGGGCGGGTGGGGGTGGGGGCAGAGGTGGGGAACAAGGGAGAGGGGCTGGGAATGTGGCTCATGGTAAAGTACTCTGGGTTCAATTCCTAGTACCAAAATAATACAATATAAAAATAAAAATAGAATATTTTCAAACTATAACTCTCCAAAGATTCCAAGGATTTGGCCTTAATATTTAAGGGGTTTGGGAGAGACCTAACTTTTTAAAAGAGAAATATAAAAAAGCAAGGGATATTGCTCTCTTAGGTCTTCATGCCTGGACATAAATTTTATATTTGAATGCGTGTTTTCAGCTGATAATTAGTTTGATGCTACAGAAATAATGCTTTAAAGGGAAGAGCCAAAGGCATTAGAACCATGATGTGTAAAAGCACAAAGCCTAACACAGAGCAGGAGCTCAACAAATGAAATGAATGGCTACCATTTTCTCACAACATACTATAATTCCAATTACAGAATTAATTTTCAACACCAATACAATTATAATTTCTAATTCCAATTACAGAATTAATTTTAAACACCAATACAATTATGAAGCTTTTGGAATAGTACTTAGGAATCATGAAATAGATAAGAAAAATCTACATTTTCTCTTGTTTTTTATTTCCCCCTTTTCCCAATAATTTTTCCCCTAAAGTTCCAACCCATACTACTCTGTTTTCATACTATGAACACACAAACCAAAGGTCTGTTTCTCTTGCCATATTATTTTCTGATGAAGTCAACATATGATTAGATATGGAAAACAAACACCACCATTCCCCCCCTCCCCCACCAAGTGGGCTCCAGGGGAAAATATTTCTACTGATAAGTCTCATGCTTTGAACCTAGTTTCATTTTTTATACTGAAGAGACCCTTAATTTTGGCATTATCAAATGGCAAAGGACATTCCCATTCAAAATATTATCTCTTGTTTGATAATAAACAAGATTTACCAATGCTTCAGGATCCTGGAAACAGGCTTTGTATGTGCCTATCTGTATTCAAAGATTTGAGTAGAAAACTTCTTAGGTTTCAAAATATTCAAGGATAGAATAATCTGTTTTTAGTAAACATAAATCAAGATAAATAGCAGAAAAAAATAAGATAAAATTAACTGAATTTGGACAAGTTCTACTTTAGCATTTTTAAAAAACTTACAGTGAAAAATTTCCAGCAAATGTAAGAGTAAAGAGAACTATTTGTCATTCATTTCCCCTGCCTTCCCCCGTCCCTTAAGGTATTTCAAAACAAACCCTGCATATCAGACTAATCATTTTTAAAAGTTATTAGTGACCAATGAAAATAAAATACCTTTGCATTTCCTATTCATTTTACTCGGGGGACCTAGGCTTTCTTAATCCTTTCCTGGAGTGAAACATGCAACAGAGGCAAAAAGGTTTATAACTATGACCACATACATTTTTGTTGATAACATTGAGGAATCCACACTGGTCCATGATATTGATGGAGACTCAAGCAGAAGTAAATGTCTATATACACACTTATTTTTTCCTCTTTTAAGTAATCTTCAAAAATATTACTTAAAATAAATAACAACATTTCATAAAATAATTTAAATTGAATTAAAATTGAACAGTGAGATCGCATAATCATTTAAATTCTATGTCAATTTCCATTACAAATTAATTCAAACCTGCTAGTATGCTATTAGCTCACAATAGTGGTAGACAAAGGTTAGGTTGCTATTATCCCAACTGCTCTGGGAACTACCTAAACTTTTTTTTTTTTTTTGCTAAAGTCTAATGTGCATTATATCCCATAATTAACCCACAACATGAGTTATACCCCATAAGCAAGCAGGTCACTCAACACCTACTGGTTGAATGTTGGACATGATGACCTTAAATTAAGACTTTTTAAATTTTAGACAGGAAAAGGGTAACATCAATTTACTCAGTATATTCCTTCTAAGTTAGTTTTAGCTCATCATATAAACATCTTTATATACATCCTTATATGGTGATAATATTTAGTTTCAAATCAGTATTAACCCAAGAATGCTTCCCCTTCCTCCAAATGTGCCATATTCCTTGAATATACAGATAAGATAATATATCAACTAATCAAAGGCAATACATTTAAAAAAAATTCTGGGACACAAAATTGCTTGGAAATCTGCTACTTCCGCTGCCATTGAGCACTTTTCTCTAACAGCTATTATTATCATTAAAAGTATGGAGAATATTACTTATGGGATGAAAATTCAACAATCTTGGTAAAAATTTTTAACTCAAAAAGTAGCATTTTAAGTCCTATATAATCAATAAATATGACAAGAAAGATGAATGAGCCAGATGAGGTGGTGCACACCTGTGATCACAGTGACTCTTAAGAGGCTGAGGCAGGAGGATCACAAGTTCAGATCAGACTCAGTAACTTAGGCCCTAAGCAACTTAGTGAGACCTTGTCTCAAAAATAAAAAGGGATGGGGATATAGCTCAGTGGTAAAGCATCCTTGGGTTCAACCCCCAGGACAATAAATACATAGGTTAGAAAACTGGAAAAAAAAAATCCATGAACAGAGGAGGAAGTAGAATTTGTCCAAATTAAAATTTCATCTGAGGGGGCTGGGGTTAGGGCTCAGTGGTGGAGTGCTTGCCTAGGACATGTGAGACACTAGGTTCGACTCTCAACATAGCATAAAAAAATAAATAAATAAAATAAGATATTGTGTCCATCTACAACTAAAAATATTTTTAAAAATTTTATCTGAGAAAATTAAATTTTCTCTTGATGCTATATTTTTAATTCTAAACTTGTACATACGAGCTAATTCAAATAAACCATGTAAATGTTCTATTATTATTATTATTATCATCATCATTATCATTTTGAAATAAGACTTCACTATTTTGCTCAGGCAGAGGCAAATAGTGGTTAAAGAGCCATATTTACATGAAACAGTATTTTAAATGGTTTTGCAAGTTACCCTGGGAGAATATAAGCTAAGTCACTACTACTAATAATAAATGCAACTGCATTTACTTTAGAATGTGTACAGATTTCTTTCATGAAGAAATGGTGTTGATTCATGAGTCTCCCAAGAATTCTGAATTATTTAAACAAAGTTCACATTGTCTTTTCATAATGGTGGATAGTGGATTGACCTACTTACCTTTCATGTACAAGAATTCCAGTAAAGATGAGTTAACAGAGACCTATTCTAACAAAATTCCTAGTAAAATAATGTAAAGGCATACAACATCTAGAAAAAGAACAATTTGAAGTCATAGGTGATAGCTTTTAATTGGTAGGGAAAGAGGTTGAGTGTAGTATGGTGGCAGGCACACCTTTCTTGCTTTTGCTTTGTTTTTATGAATTTTCTCATCTACTGAATATATTAAACATCTGATGCAGCAAGTAACATTCTTTGCTAATTTTAAGATTCTCTCAGTAGCCATCTTTCATATATTCTCCTGAGATAGAACAGATTTTCTTTGACCAGAATCACATTACCATTTGTTGGCTGTGCTGGGGATAAAACCCAAGGCTAAATGCTAAACAAGCCCTCTACCACTGAGCCACACCCCCAGTCCCACTTAACTATTAGACAGAAACTCTATACGCTAAGATCTTTACTTTCAGTAAAGGTTTTACAGGCCTAGCTCTGTTGGTGCTACAATAATAAAACCCACCCTATTTTAATTTTTATTCTTCCAGTAACTGAGGTTAAACCCAGGGCCTCATGCATGATAGGCAAGTGTTCTACCACTGAGCTACATCCCCCTACCCTTCTTATTTTATTTTGAGACAGGATCTCACTAAATTGCCCAGGCTGGCCTCAAACTTGGACTCATCCTGCCTCAAACTCCTGCATAGCTGGGATTATAGGTGTATATTAACATGCCTGGCTTTATGTTAAAAATTTTAAAAACCTATCTTAAGTCTCTGCCTTAAGTCTACACCCTGGAAGTATCCTATTCCAACTTATTGGAGTCTTATTAAACTTATTCCAGGCTGAGGCAACTTACTCCCTGCTACAAAAAAAAAAAAAAGCTAGAATTAAGAAAGTTAACTTCTGAAAATATCTTTCAACTATTAAAAATGTAATTATTTTTATATGGGAAAACTTGAGTACATATATTTTTATTTTATTTCTTCAACTTAAACACATTTAAATTTTTTGTTTTTAGTATCAGTCAACTCATTATACAAAGTTAAAAATAATAAAATAATCATCTTAAAGAACAAGAGCAAAGTTTGGGGGAAAGTCACGCATGGATGAATGTTGAACAAAGAATTAAACCTAAACGGAAAGGAACACTTTTATAATAAAAGGTTATGAGCTGGGAGCAGTGTCACATGGCTGTAATCCCAATGGCTTGGGAGGCTAAGGTAGGAAGATTATGAGTTCAAAGCCAGCCTCAGCAACTTAACAAGGCCCTAAGCAACTGAGACCCTGTATATAAACAAAATACAAAAAAGGTCTGGGGAGCTGAGGAGGCAGGGGGTTGTGGCTCAGTGGTAGAGCACTTGCCTAGCATGTATGAGGAATTGGGTTTGATTCTCAGCACCACATATAAATAAAAAATAAATAAAGGTCCAATAACAACTCAAAAAATATTTTTAAAAAAGGGGGCTGGGGATATGACTCAGAAGTTAAGTGCTTCTGGGTTCAATCCCTGGTACCAAAAAAACAAATAAATAATAAAAGGTTATGAAAGAGTCTCCAAAACACACACAGAAAAATATTCAGAAATTCTAATAAAATAAAGTCCTCTATTCCAAAATCCCAAGGATGCTAGTAACTGTTTCTATTTCTAGATCTTTAGATACAATATTAAGGCATTAATATCTGTTTTTTCTAGTAAGAAATAAGATTAATTAAAATGGATCTTGTGTGCATATAAATATATATTATTCTCTAAAGTCCATAAATGACTTTAAAAAAGTATAAATGTTAGTATTTACTTCTCAAATGAGTTATCTACATATACAAGTGTCACTAAATGTCCCCAAAAGTGTATTAAAGTTTAATTTTGATATTGCTTTGTGTGGTAATTTTATCTACAGAGCAGACATAAAGAACAACCACCATTTCTCATTAAAATAATCATCAGGATTATACTGTATAGGTCTAAATTAAAACAGTTGACAGAGTCCATGACATCTTACTAGGCAAACAGATAAATGTCTAATTTCTAAACATGCAGTTTTCTAGTTCTCAACCATAGCTCCTGACTACACCTCCCCCTATTGTATATATACACAGTGAGTTTTAATGCTGAGTTCTCTGCTATGAGATAGCACCAAAAGCACAAGGAATAAGGTATAGGAACTGGCTGGAGGGAAAAGCCTAATGAACATAAATGAGAGTCCAACACAGCAAACCTATATTTCAATAGTTGCATGTCTTTTCCCAACTACATTTACCGTTTATCACCTTCGGTCTTCACACTGACCCCAGAATTTAGCAATTTACATTGCTCTCACTTCAGACTGAAACTTGAGATGCAAAAAATAATAATTTTAGCTCTGATCACTGTGATATCAAATGGCAGAAAGGGGGTGCCTTTCTATATCATCTCTAGCTTCAGCATCGTCTCAATTCCATATGTTTTCACTATTTCAAACTTTCACCCAATAATCTAGGCAAATTAACCTCTAACACTCCCCTGTTACCTTATAAACAGATCACTGCTTCTTTGAGAATTACTAAGCAGTGTTAAGATATGCCAAAGAAATGTCAAAATAAAAGCCTCTCCGATCATCCCCAAAACTTTAAAAAGTCTTACCATTACTTCTACAGTAATTCCAATCTTTTTCTTTTCATGACACAAACAAAAAATGTTAACTTGTGTATAGCCCTCCAGGGTAAATGGATAAAGCTGCTCAAGGCCAGGCTACCCAGTGAGGATACTACTCCAGCAGGTCCCAGGACTGCTCCACCCCTCTGGGAAATGAGGGATAGAAGTTCTACACTTTTGGAGCCTGGTGCCAAATTCCAGAGACATACCAGGTGGCAACTCTGATGAACAGTGCTAAAACTCCCACCACATATACCCAGTGGGCCAGATGAGAAAAGCATATGAGTGAGAAGTAATAAAAGAGAAACAATAGTGAAAACCTCAAAGTCTAATTCTTGCAGGCAGTGGGGGGTTTTCTTCTCTTAACACTGATTTTGGACATTTTGAACATGTCCACTCATTGGGGGCCATAGATAAATGACACCTAATACTGACAGGTATCTGATAGAAGATGCCCAAAATCACCAAAGGAAAATTAATTTAACAATTTTATACTGCAAATCCATCACAAAAGAAAGTTCTAAAAAAAAATTAAAAATTAATGACTACATATGAAAGAATATAATTTATTTTAATAGACAAAATTTTTCTAGAGATTGTTACTTTTAAAGGGGAAAACAGAGAATATATCTACAATCTTAACACCTTATTTGGACAAACACGATTTAATATCACATCGTTTTCAATACTGACGTTGCTTACCCCACACCCCCGTCCCATCCTTTCCCCTTTCTTTTTCTTTGCCCTCTCTTTTTAAAAATTATTTTTCTGTATCTATCATTCTTCTTTTGAGGGGAAAGAAAAAACCTAGTATTTTAATTAGAGCAAAAATCATAGAATTAACAATCCATTAAAATGCACAAGACTAAATGTGAATGTATCTGTTTATTTAGAGCTATTGGTGTGTAAAATCTCAAATAAAATAATTTATCCATTTGCTATAGTTTTAAAATTAAATAATTTTTTCTCTTTTGGGAAAAACTGAAACACAATTAACAGTAGAGAGTAGCGAAAACAGAATTACATTAAAACATAATTTAGAAAACATAGGGACCTCTTTTAGATTAGTAAGTATAATATGTTGTTGGTAACAAAAGCCAACAAAAGAATAAAATACAAACATTTATATCTTACATTTGCATTCATTATAAAGACCAAAAAAAGCAATAACTTTCAAACTTTTACTTAAGGTGAATAAAACATAAATAGAAAACTCTCCTTTTATTTTTAACCCCAATTTTTCTATATTCAGCAATAAAATTTTTACTTTTCAAAAGTATATGACAGCTGTCAATACAAATCTCTCACTTCTTTAACATGTACTTTTCATTCTAAGATATACAGTTCAGGTATTAATGATGCATTTTAAAATGAAACAATTTAATACCAAAACCAGAATTGCTTCAATAAAACTAGAGAAGACTTAAAGCTAGCACTGTATCATATTTAATCGCAGCATACATACTGTATTGCCCCGTGCTAGTCTGATATATGCTAGTCGGTACTGCCATGGTAGCGATGTTAGGTGGCGTTCCTTCTTCCTCTGATTTTTCTTCTTCAATTTTGGGAACACCAGGCACATCAGAGGAAAGTTCATTCAGTATTTTTCTAAAATACAATTTAACAACATAACTAATTAAGATACATGAATGAGACTTAAAAGAATTGCTTTGATCTATAATTTTTCTTCACAGTAGCACATGCCTGTAATCCCAGCTGAGGTTGAGGCAAGAGAATCAGAAGTTCAAAGCCAGCCTCAGGAACTTAGTGAGGGCCTAAGCAACTCAGTGAGACCCTGTCTTTAAATAAAATACAAAAAAATGGATGGGGATGTAGCTTAGTGATTAAGTGCCACTGGGCTCAATCCCTGGAACAAAAAAATAAATAAATAAGAATAAAAATGTAATGTAATTTTTCTACCTTCTTGGACAAAGTATCATTCTAGTAGTTAACAGTTAACTCACCTATAAGAGGGTCTTCGTGAAAGGATTTCTCTACGTTTATGAGAATCAATTACACCTTCTGTTTCTGCAGACTCATCTGTCTCTGCAATTGTTGCTACCTATAACATAAGATTTTCTGAAATGCATCACAAAATATAAGATTTTCCTCGTTAAAAAAAATAAAATGGTAGTTAAGGGTCTTTGTGTACAACACTGAGCCAGGTGCTGTGGAGCCCCCAAACACAGTGAACCTGAATTTAAAAAGCTCATGATCTGGTTCAAGAAAGGAAAAACAAACACAAACATTAAAGTTGTTGAAAAAAAAAGTATGGAAAGAAATGGTATAGATAATAAATACTATGAAAATGCAACAGAAAGAGTTGTTCAAATGTCAAGTGAGACTTCACTGGAAAGAGTAAAACATAAGATACGCCAGAGTCAAGATCCTAACCCTGAAAGTGCCCTTATAATTCCAGCAAGGAGTAAGTAAGCCAATGACAGAGGCAGGAAAAAAGCCCTCAATTTCACTGTTTTTTGTTTTTTTTTTCCACTATTCCATAGCTGACTTGAGCTGGGTTTTCAAAATAGGTATTAGATAGGGCCAAAGGAGAAAAAACATTTAAATAAACAAGAGTATAAACCAGAATAAAGTTAGGATTTATATTACAAGGAGCAGGGTAGGGTTTAATGGAGTTAAGTCTTAAAAATAAAATAAGGGATTTCTCCTTAAAAAGAAGGATCAGAATTTTGAGCATGATTTCATTTTTCAAGTCATATAAGAATACAATAATTGGATTGATAAAGTCGGAAAACTAATGAATTGCTACAACATGTCTGCTGTCAATATATTTAGTCATTTAACTGTGAGGGACTCGAGTAGCTGAGTTTATAAAACTCACTTTACTTAATACTACAATTACTTGAGAATTTGATTTGGGAAAAATCAAGAGGTTACCAAAATATCCAGAATGCATGCAAGAATGTATCATTGCTAAAGCCCATAAATATGTGTGTATATTTGCCTACACATATAACCACACAACCTCTGGTAATGGACACTCCACAAATAAGGGGAGCTTATTGAAAAAAATATGTTGTTGCACTAGACAATCATAATATTACTACTAAAAATTTACCATTTTATACTGGGCTTTAATACATCTGTCATATAACCAATACCATAGCAACTCCCTTCTGTGAGGTAGGCTAGTATTTTACCCATTTTAGAAAGTTCAAGCAGGGAAATTATCTTTCCCAATGTCCAATATATAGAATTCTAAGATCCACCAGCACTTATTTCTACAAAGACAATTAAAACCATTAATTCAACAAAGATTTAAAAAGTCAAGTAATAAGACAATATTTTCTTCTAATACCAACCAAGTTAAAACTAAGTTAAAATATCTGCACCCAAATAAAAGTCATATTACAAAGAACAGTGTGGAATGACTTTCTTCTTTTATTATTAGAGTCGGAAAGAATTAGAAATTTTTGGAATCAAGGGTCACCTCAGAAAATAAAAGACAATGATGAGAATTTTACTTTTGAACAACTAGTAATGATTCCTAGGGCTGAGGTTGTGGCTCAGTGGTAGAGTGCTTGCCTATTATGTGTGAGGCACTAGGTTTAATCCTCAGCACCACATTAAATAAATAAATAAAATAAAGGTGTTCATCTACAACTAAAAAAATTAAATTAAATTTAAAAAGAGCCGGGTGCAGTGGCGCATTCCTGTAATCCCAGTGGCTCGGGAGGCTGGGACAGGAGAATCATGAGTTCAAAGCCAGGCTCAGCAACAGCAAGGTGCTTAGCAGCTCAGTGAGACCCTGTCTCTAAATAAAATACAAAAAATTGGGCTCAGGATGTGGCTCAGTGGCTGAGTGCCCCTGAGTTCAATCCCTAGTACCAATAATAATAATAATAATAATAATAATAATAATGATAATAAAGAAATGATACCTATACTGAAAAGATAACCAAGCTTTTAAATCATGTGGATTTATCACATCAAATGTCATGCTATAAGCCTCATTCTTATTCTGTGATAGACCCTACTCAAATGTGCAGGTAAAGGATAAGACATGTACATGTATCTCAATTTTCCTCACAGATTTTTTTTCCATCAATTGGGCTCAAATAATTTGAAATTTAAAGGATACTAACAAACTGACTTAAGAAAAGAAATAAGTTTAGTAAATAAGAAAAGTATGCTTCTAAAATGCATAATTAATAATTCACATCTACAGATAAAAATGTTTTACCTTCAAGAAATGTTAAGGATTTGTAACAAATTTTGATAAATAGTACCATATATCTCTGGGTCACAACCACATTAACATGTACAAAAGCCAAGGTTTAATATGAATGAGGTACATGACATATAAACATAATACTCAAGTGACAGTAATACCATATCACTTTCAGGCTGGAGTGCAGCTCAGTGGTAGAATGTGTGATTAGCATGCATTAGGCCCTGGGTTCAATCCCTAGCACCAAAATAAATAAATAACATCATTATCACTTTCTAAGGATTACATACACTGAATTTAAAAAATTAAATTTCTACCCACCTACCAATGTGAATATACACGAACACAGTATCAGTACTAAAATCTTTATATTACATGATCAGACATCTTTCCCAAAGAACACTCAAGATACTTTAAAGTACCACTAGAGAGCTTTATTAAATAAATCTGAGTATGAGCACAGAACAACTTGAAGAAGACATGAACTGCTTATCTAGCGATTACTAATTCTGCAAATTAAAAGCAGACAACAAAAACTTCAACTTTTAAGTCAAATCTATGCACTTAGCAAGGTACATGGCACAACATATAAAAAAAAAAAAAGAAATCCCTTCAAACATCTAATTAAAAGATTTGAGTATAAAATCTTCATAGAGAAAAATGATGATAAATGAATTAGTAGTAAAAGAAAAACAAAAAAGTCTCAAGAAAGTCAATGAGAAATCAACGACAAATCATCTAGGAAGGAAGCTAACCTGAACAGTCTGTATTTGTGGTGAATGAATAACCGATGGTTGTGGTGTCTGAATTACTCCCTGGACATGTACAGTTTGGCCCGAAGGTAACTGCACTAGAGTTACAGCTGGGGAGCCTCTTCCAGTGCCTGATCCAGCTACAGAAACCTGCAAAAATGATCATCATTGAGGATTAAAGCTGAACCTTAATTTGCTATTGTCTATTTTTAAGAAACACCACTCACTACTATGACTAACTTCTCTTTCTCCTGCTTCTAAGAAATGACAAATCAGCTGGGGTACTTACCATTAGGAGTTGGTCACTGTCCTGGAACTGTCATTCTCTGATGTGACAGATATTAAAGAACCCATGCTCCTCACTTTTGGTGCCCATGCTTCGATGGATAAGAATGTTCCAAGCACAAGGTTCTAAAGCAGTTAAACTACCTCACTACGACCTCATGACTACTAACAGTGACATCTTTTTGAGGCTAAAGTATAAAGTACCCCAACTTAAGAGAAATCGAAGATAAAATGTCAATATGGTGAATTTTTACATACATATGTATAAGTTCTATAATAATTCTAATACTATTTTAGATGTAAGCTGATACCCTGTCTCTATTTTAATAATAAGCCACAGTAATTTTTATGTCCCTATTATCACATAAAAAAAAGTCTAGACCAAAGAAATTTCAGGTCCTTTCAAGCCCTAGTATCTCTGATGGAGAGAAAGCTCCTGCCTCAGAGCTGGCGTGGCCTCCTGGCACTCCTCTCCCCAGAGACAGAGCATCCAAAGAGAGGACCAGAACTTCACTTAGCTTTAAGCAGAGAAGAACATGTAGTCATTAAATTGCTCTTGTTTTCAACAGAGATCCCTACCAGCAAGACAAAATACCTCTACTCCTTTGAACTTGAAACCTGCTAAGTTTTTTAAGTAGTAAACAATTCTGTCCTATAGGCCAGTGTGATTTTAGAAATTTTGCTTCATTTCTCTAAGATTTACTATTTACTATGACTTACTCAAAACAGTCAAAGACCTTGGAAATGAAATAAGCCACTTATTTCTTTCTTTCTATTTTTTGTACTGGGGATTGAATCCACTTAGTCACATCCCCAGCCCTTTTTGTATTTTATTTTGAGACAGGGTCTCCCTAAGTTACTGAGGCTGGCTTTGAACTTATGATCCTCCTACCTCAGCCTCCTGAGCTGCCGGGATTATAGGTATATGCCACCATGCCTAGAAAGCCACTTGTTTCTACCAAGAGTGGTAACAGAACCAAAAGATATTAGTTTTTGAAGGAAGCCTCTGTGTGTGATGTTACCTTTAAAGAATACCAATAATTTACAATCTGCTTTACTAGTATTTCAAAAGGCATTAAAAATTGGGTTTACAACAGTAAGATTTATTTATGTCATTCACCTAGAAAGCAAATTTCTCTGGCAGTGTAAAAGTTAAAAATCTTTTATCCATACAAGATAAGTATCTGTTGAGCATTATACTAGTCTCACTAAGGTAAAGCACAGAATTGAAAAAAGACCTAAGAAACAGTAGCACACCGAAAAGTATAGAACAAATTGCTTCTCTTTATGGACCATGAATGTTTTCAGAATACAGATCTGAAAGATCGGTGTGGACGTGAACAGTAAGTGAAGGCTTTGTGTGGAAGTCAGAGCTTGAGCCAGACCCTGATCTGAGCTAGGTAACAGTTGGACATACAGCAAAAAAATGACAGGGCAGGGGAGATTAATATGCAGGCCAAGAGCCAGTTTCAGCTTGCCTTGCCCTCTCATAGTCTACCTTAGACTTTAAGGGGGAGAAAAAAAAAAATCCCATATTGAACCAGCAGATTTAACAATTACAAATTAAAAAGAAAAAAAAATGGTTATATTTGACAAGTATTCTCGGCACAAAAGGCAACTTTGTATGAATTATAAAAAAGTACCCATCTCTGTGTTGACTAATTACCAAAGGTCTCCCTTTTCTCCAAACAACTAGTTCTCAAACCTTTTAATATCAAAACACTTTTACACTTAAAATTTGCTAGGAATTTTAAGGAACTTTTATTTATATGATTTATATCCAGGTTAAGTGTTGGTAAACACTTAATAACCACAGTTGGGCATGGGGGAACACACGTGTGATCCCAGATACTCAGGAGGCTGAGGCAGGAAGATCACCAAATTTGAGGCCAGCTTCGACAACTTAGTAAGACCCTGTCTCAAAATAAAATTAAAATGGGCTAGGGATGTAGCTCAGTTGTAAAGTGCTTGCTTGGCATATGTGAGGCCCTGAGTCTGATCCCTAACACACACACACATACACACACACACACACAAATTAATAACCAGATCTTGTGGAGGGGGAACCCTGCTTTGTGGCTTTTGCTGATTTCTATGATATAAACACTCATACTATGGAGTATTTGAAGCTACCAATGAAGATACTAGACACAAAATTGGAAAAAGATGTACACAACTGGCCTATGCAAGACATTACAAGCCTGCTTCAGCACTCCATTGGTTTTTGTTTTGGTGTGTTTGTTTGCCGTACTGGTGATTGGTAGGCAAGCACTCTACTTCCAAGTTACATTCTCAGCCCTTAACATATACTGTATTTTGGGACAGGGTCTTGCTAAATTGCCAGGCTAGCCTCAAATTTATAATCTTCCTGCTTCCAACTCCCTAGCAGCTGGGATTACAGAAATGCACCACCACACCAGGCTTCCTCTGATTTTATCCACAGAAATATAATATCATAATAGAAATTACAGACTATTTTAAAAATATTTAGTAATTCATTTCCAAATAATAAGTCCCTTACATGCTAACATAATCACATTTTAAGAAAAACAATTACATTTTACAAAGCAAACAAAAGATATTTAATGACACTATTTTTACAAATACCCACCTTTTTGTTTTTTTAATTTTTAGCTGGGCCCGATGACTCATGCCTGTAATCCCAGTGACTTGGGAGGCTGAGGCAGGAGGACCGAGAGATCAAACCCAGTCTCAGCAACTTAGCAAAGTCTAAGCAACTCAGCGAGACCCTGTCTCTAATAAAAAATATTAAAAAGGGCTGGGGATACGGCTTCATGCTTAAGCGCCCCCAAATTCAATCTCTAGTATCAAAACAATTTTTTTTTTTAGTTAAAGATGGACACAATACCTTAATATTGTTTATTTTTTTAAACATTTTTTTAAAGATAGATAGAGAATTTTTTTAATATTTTATTTTTTAGTTTCCAGCGGACACAACATCTTTGTATGTGGTGCTGAGGATCCAACCCGGGCGGCACGCATGCCAGGCGAGCACGCTATCGCTTGAACCACATCCCCAGCCCCTTGTTTATTTATTAATATTTATTTATTACTTGTAGTTGGATGCAATACCTTTATTTTATTTATTTTTATGTGGTGCTTAGGATTGAACCCAGGACTTCGCATGCACTAGGCGAGCGCTCCACCACTGAGCCACAAACCCAGCCCTTATTTATTTATTTTTACGTGATGCTGAAGATCAAACATAGTAGTGCCTCACAAATGCTAAGCAAGTGCTCTACCTACACACTGAGCCCCAATCACAGCCCTACAAATTCCTTTAATGTCTAGTTAACGGAAGATACTAATATCTACTTTTGCCATGAATCTGTTACATGTTGTGTTAGTTGGTATGTAAAAAAAATCTGGGCCTGATATAAATAACATGATTTTAAAAGGGAATAGTATTAAAATAGCTTTTACTTGCTTTATTTATTGATTGATTGATTGATGCTGGGGAGGAGCTCAAGGCCCCAGTCACATTCTGCAAGTTTTCTACTATTGAGCCACATTCCCAACTCTTTTTCCCCCCTAGTCCTTTTTTAAATTTTATTTTGAGATAGGTCTTAATTAAGTTATATATGACAGTAGAATGCATTTATGCACTTTGTTATATCATACATAGATGGGATATAATTTCTCATTTTTCAGAGCATACAAGTTGTAGAATCAAATTAGTCATGCAGTCACATATATACATAAGGTATAATGTCTGTTATGTTCTACTTTCCTTCATATTCCCACATCTCCATCCCCTCCCCTCCCTTCACTTCCCTCTACTTAATCTAAGGAACTCTATTCTTCACTAGTACCCCCCCCCCAACATTGTGAATTAAGCATCCACATATTAGAGGAAACAAAATTCAGCCTTTGTTTTTTTAGTGGGGGAATTGGCTTATTTCACCTAGCATGATATTCTCCAACTCCATCCATTTACTGGCAAATGCCATAATTTCATTCTTTAAAGCTGAATAATATTCTACTGAATATATATCATATGTTCTTTATCCATCTACTGAAGGACACATAGGTTGATTCCACAGTTTAGCTATTGTGAACTGAGCTGCTATAAATATTGGTGTGGCTGCATCACTGTGGTATGGTGATTTTAGGTCCTTTGGGTATAAACCGAGGAGTGGGATAGCTGGATCAAACGGTGGATCCATTCCAAGTTTTCTGAGGAATTGAGATATAGTCTTGCTAGGTTTCTTAAGCTGACCTTGAATTTGTGATCTTCCTGCTTCAGCCTCCTCCCAAGTTGCTAAGATTACAGGCATGTGTTACTGCACTCTTATAATAGCTTTCCCAGAAAACATAGATAATCTTTTTTGATAAACGTCAAAACTGGACAAGTGGAAGTTTTCAAAGTTTAGTTGCAATGTGCAATCTGAAACCCTATCAGTTACATCAAAACCCACTAGTCTGAGCTGGGGTTGTAGCTCAGTAAAAGAGCACTTGCCTAGCGTGTGAGGCACTGGGGTTGATTCTCAGCACCACATATAAATAAATAAAATAAAGGTCCAGTGACAACTAAAAAATATATTAAAAAAAATACTGTCTATCACTTACTTTGGATGGATCTTTTACCCATTGAAGATTTTGTTAACATCATGCACTAGTTATTCAGGAAACTTTGGCTTAAATTGTCCAAATGCTGACGTATTTTATGACACACTGTCAGAAATCAATTCACTAAAACAGCACAAACTTCATCAGAAAACTGCAAATACTGTCACAATGGCAGATGCAGGTTTTCCAAATTTTAAAATTTCTGCTTAAAACCCTGAATTTCATTATTGCCAATAAACACTTGTTGTCCTTAAAGTGACAAGCTCACTTCACTT